TCCTACCTCAGCCTCTCAAATGTTAGGACTACATGTGTATGCCACCAGGCCTAGGTTTGGAAATTAATTTTATTTTTGAGTTTTTTGAAGAGAACAAACAGGATTATGTCATACTCACATATTTTATTTCCCTTTCCCATAAGGTATTGGGGGCTATGCTTTTTGTTTGAGACAGTCTCATTAAGTAGTCCTATCTTGGAATTCCATGTATAGACTAGGTTGGCCTTGAACTTGTGGCAATTCTCCTGCTACTATCTTTTGAGTGTTGAAATTACAGGTGTGGCTCACCAGCTTGACTTTAGAAAACCTTTCCATGTAAATGCCTATGGCAACTCAAAGTTTCCAAAACGGCTTGTCCTAGTTAGGGTTTCTATTGCTGTAATGAAACACTAGGTCCCAAAAAACAAGTTCAGGGAGAAAGTTTTGCTTACACTTATGCAATGTAGTCCATCATTGAAGGAAATCAGGACATGAACTCAAGTAAGGTAGGAACCTGGAGGCAGGAGCTGATTCAGAGGCCATGGGGGGATGCTGCTTACTGGCCTCCTCAGCCTGTTTTCTTATAGTACCCAGGACTACCATCACTTGGATGGCACCACCCACAATGGGTTGAGCCCTCCCATATTAGTCACTAATTAAGAAAATGCCTTCATCCTTTTTTTTCTTTCTTTTTTTCTCTCTTTTGGTTTTTTTTTTTTTTTTTTTTTTTTTTTTTTGACACAGGGTTTCTCTATATATCCCTGGCTGTTCCAGAACTTGCTCTGTAGACCAGGCTGGCCTCAAACTCACAGAGAACCTCCTGCCTCTGCCTTCCTAGCACTGGGATTAGAGACACTCCTACTGCCTGGCTACAGCCTGATCTTATGGAGACATTTTCTAAATTCATGGTCCTTTCACATGACTTTAAATTGCGTTAAGCTGACATAAACTATCTGGCACACAAAACATATCACTACTGAGTCACAACCTTTCCTTCCTTATTCATCCTCAAGATCTCACATTAAAAATATAACTAACTTTAAAAGTTCCACAATCTTTACCAACTCAGACATTAAAATTTCAGTCCTTTTAAAAATATGCAACCTCTTAAATTCCAAATTTTCTGTAAAACTCCAAAATATCTTTTTTTTTTAAGTTTAAAATCCCGACTGTGGGCTCCTGTAAAATAAAAAATACATTAAGTACTTTATTCCTTCAAATGGGAGGAGCCAGGCACAGTCACAGTCTGAACAAAGCAAAACCAAACTCCCAGCAGTGTGAACAAAACAATGTCCAATGTCTGTGATCCTTATGATCATCCAGGCTCCACTAAGGGGCTTGGATCATTTTTCCTGCTCTAGCCTCTGCAGCACACAGCTTGCCTTCTACATCAAATGGCTCCATTCCACAGCTACTGCTGTTCTCGGAGGTCATCTCCAAAATGCTGGGGTCTTATGCTGCAATTGGGCTGCATTTTCACCAATAGCCCCTTCTAGGCTCTCCTCACGATGCCAAGACACAAATTCCCTGCATGACCTTCAATCCCCGGTCTTCAGCTCTCATTGATGCCACACCTTCCCCAGCGGCCTCTCCCAGGGGCAAGCCTTGGCTTTCTCTCCATGACCCCTTCATGCCTTCAAAACTCCAAAAACCGGTTCAGCTGTCGTTACAACTTGGCTACCTCTAGAACACAGCTTCTGTGTGCTCTCAGGAAACACTCCTCGGAAGATTTTATGTCAACAATGCTGGTCTCAATCATTGGTATTTCTCAGCTCCAGCTGACCAGAATGGAGTATTTCAGCAAAGCACAGGTTTCACTTTAGTAGATCTGGTATCTTGTTAATCACAGCTGATTCTTCAGCACCAGCTAACCAGAACCACAAATTGTTAACTCGAAGGGCCCAGTAGAGTCTTTGCTTCCCTCTGAAACTTTACAAGCCAGGCCTTCTTCATCTGCACTGCTCTCAACGTTTTTATCTTCCAAGCTCCTACAGAACACTTCACTGAGCTGTTCAGGGGCATTTCTAGTCTAAAGTTCCAAAGTCAGGACTGTCACAGCAATGCCCAACTATCCTGGCACAAGCTTGTCTTAGTAAGGGCTTCTATTGCTTGTGATCAAACACCATGACCAAAAGCAGGTTTATTTGGTTAACACTTCCACAATGTAGTCCATCATTGATGGGAGTTAGGACAGGAACTCAAATAGTGTAGGAATGTGGCAGCAAGAGCTGGAGCAGAGGCCATGGAAGGGTGTTCTTACTGGCTTGTTCCTCATAGCTTGCTTAGTCTGTTTTCTTACAGAACCCTGACCACCATCCCAGGTACCTCTCACCAATGGGCTGGATCCTCCTCCATTAATCCCTAATTAAGGAAATGCCCTTCTACAGGCTTGCATACAGCCTCATCTTATGGAAGCATTTTCTTAATTGAAATTCCTTCCTTTCAGATAACTGTAGCTTATTTCGAGTTGACATAAGGCTAGCCAGTGCACCTACCAAATGATTAGTTCATAGTGAATAATTGTGGGAGTAATTTGCAAAGCAGTCATCTGAGCTAGGAGAATACTAATAGCAACACCTCTTCCAATTTTTAAAAACAATAGCATAGTTAAACAGTAATAGTCTTTAATTTAGGGTAGGGAGATGGTTAACTTGCTATGCCAGCAAGAGGACTCTATTGAGTTCTGATCCCCAAAACCTATGTAAATGCTGGGTGGGTGTGGCAGCATTCCTGTAATTTCAGCCTGAGAAGATAGGGAAGAGGGATCTCTGGAGCAAGATGCTTTGCAAAACTAGCTCTGTTGGTGAGCTTTGGGTTCAACCGAGATATCCTAAACTGAAGAATAAAACAGGAGAGTGAAGGAGGAAGACTTCTAACGTGTGTGTTATGCTCACAAGTGTGACCATGCATGCATGCATGCACATACACACACACTCAGACCTACAACACACACACACACACAAACACACACACACTCAGACCTACATCACACACACTAAAAAACTTATTTAGCCATTCTCAAATTTATAGCTACTTAGTTGGAGTTTTCCCCATATTACAGAGAAGACTGAAATATAAAAGTTTTCATGCCTGTTTGTATAGGATTGTACTTGCACAGGACACAAATTCAGTAACGTATAGAGGACAATTTGCACAATACCTGGCAGGTAATTGCAAATTTTATTTTCTTTAGAGGCTTAATCTCTCCACAAGAAGTGTCAGTGTGCTTTAATATTTAGTGAAAAGAACTGTAACTCTTGTGTCTAAAACCAAACCACAGTGGGAGTCAATCTCATTTGAAAATTATTATTATTTTGATTTTTGAAGACAGGGTTTCTCTATAGCTTTGGAGCCTGTTCTGGAACTCTGTGTAACTAGGCTGGTCTCAAAATCAAGAGATCCACCTCTCTCTGCCTGTGGACTAAAGATGTGTGCCACCCCCACCCAACTGAAAATTATTTTTATGTATTATTTACTTTTAGATATAGCTTTGGTATGCAGTCCAGGTTTACTTTGAATTCCTGAGCCTTTTGCTTTTGCCTCCTGAGAACTTGGATTGTAGTCAGGTGCTGACTAGTGCAGCTCCCTTTTTTATGTTGAGATTATGACACAAAATTGCAAATACCTTCTGTTATAGAAGCCTATCCCTGAAAACATTAATCATGGGCACAACTGACTAGCTGTATAAACCAGTTCAAATAAATTTAAAAAATCTATTTTAATATTTTAAAAAAATGTGTGTGGGTGTTTGTCTGTATGTACGCCTGTCTGTGCCCCATGTGCATTCCTGATGTCCTTGGAGGCCAGGTCCTTTGGACCTGGAATTACATACAGACTATGATCTGCCATATGGGTGCTGGGAATCTAAACCACTAACTCACCCTTCCAGCCCCTACAAACAACTTAAAAACAAATACCTTGATCAATATGCAAGTGAGTTATTTACACCATCTTTGTGCCTCTCTGCTCAGATATGCAGCTAACTACCAGCTGTGGACTAGAGCCAACAGAGGAAAGCTCAAATGCATGCTAGTCTCTAGTCTTCCACACCTGCAAGTCACATGGGAGGATCCCGTGAACTCTTGCCCAGTGCTTCCCAACCTAACACAATTATAAACACAAATTAGTAATGTGCTTCTTAGCCTCCACCTTCTCTGTCATTTTCATCCCAGGTGTGCCTGTAGTTGTCCAGCACCTGTTAGTCACATTTACGCCTCCAATTTCTTGGGGATGGAGTAATAGGGCAAGAAGGACTTTGGAATAAAACTAGTCGTTCTTTTGTCCCAACAGGATAATGAGGTTCTTTCCTATTGCAAAATTCTGTCTCCGCAGCTCAATGTTTTAAAGTCCCTCCTTTTCGCCATCCAGTCCGGGATTTGCTACCTTTGTAGGCGCCGCTCCCTGCCCCACGCGCCAGGTCAGAGCAAAAGTTAATAGTGCAGCTGCGAAAAGGCCCTGGAGAAGGGCTGTCGCTAGGCTGGTCCACACGCCGCCGCAGCACTCCGAGCGCCCAGCCCGGCCCAGCCCGGCCCACCCTCGAGGGTGCCTGCCGACTTCCGGGGCCAGGAACCCCAGGCTGGAGCCACACCCCCCCCGGCGCGCTGCCTCCCGGAAGCCCCCCGGAGACACCTCGGGCCCCGCCCCTGCACAGGTCACCTCCCTCCACGCCCCCTTTTCTGGCCCGGCAGCCGGCAGGCAGGGAAGTGTCGTAAAGCCTGGCCTAGGAAACTTTACCCGGGGTAACAGGCGAGGCGCTTTACGGCGGCGGCGGCGGCGGCGGCCGGGTGAGAGGCTCGGCGGCGGCGGTGGCGGCGGCGGAGCGGCCGCAGCGGCAAAGGAGGCTGCGGCGGTGGCTGAGGGAGAGGAGCGGAGGCAACGGCGGCGGGGAGCGGCGCGGGGTGAGCCGCGAGGAGGGGCGGGTGGGAGGCAGTGACACGGCCGGCGGCGGGGCTCGGGCGGCCGGGGACGGTGGCCGGCACGGCGGCGTGGGGGCGGCGCGGCGTTGGGGACACTCGGTGAGGGACGGTTTCTGCCTTTGTTCCCCCCGCCTCGGCCGCCCCCGGCCCGCCAGTCGGCGCTGCCTGGCGCCGGTCGGCCGCCTCTCATGGCCTCCTCTCTCGGCTGTGTCGCTTCTAGGATGGCGGAGGTACCGCCTGGGCCTAGCAGCCTCCTCCCACCACCAGCGCCTGCGGCCCCAGCGGCGGCCGAGCCCCGCTGCCCGTTCCCGGCGGGGGCTGCACTCGCTTGCTGCAGCGAGGACGAGGAGGACGACGAGGAGCACGAAGGCGGCTGCGGGAGCCCAGCGGGCGGCGAGGCGGCGACCACGGCCAAGGCGCGCTCTTGCCTTCGCTGCCCGCAGCTGCCCCAGGAGCAGCAGCAGCAGCTCAACGGATTGATCGGCCCAGAACTGCGACACCTCCGGGCCGCGGCGACCCTCAAGAGTAAGGTTCTGAGTGCAGCGGAGGCGGCCGCCCCCGACGGGGCCCCCAAAGTGACTGCCACAAAAGGAGCCGGGGGACACCCGGGGGAGAGACCTCCCCACTCGGTCCCCAACAATGCAAGAACTGCGCTCCCCGACCGGCCAGAGGCGGCGGTGGCGGCGGTGGCAGCCAGCGACCCCGCGGCGGCTCCCAACGGACTGGTGGAGGGCAACGAGCCGGATGAGGAGGACGACGAGCAGGTGCGGCTGCTGTCTTCGTCTCTGACCGTCGGCTGCAGTCTTAGGAGCTCCCTGGGCCGGGAGGCCGAGCCCGGGGAGGATCGGACGATACGATACGTCCGCTATGAATCCGAGCTCCAAATGCCTGATATCATGAGACTGATCACCAAAGATCTGTCTGAACCCTACTCCATTTATACGTATAGATATTTTATCCACAACTGGCCACAGCTGTGTTTCTTGGTAAGTGGATGGCATGAAAACAGGGTGAACCCAGCAGAGAGCCAGGCCACTCAGGCCAGGGAGTGTGAGGGCCCTTGTGTGGCGGTGGTTGTACCCTTCATTTTCACAGTACCTTACAGATGTGAAGTGCTGCCGTGTGCGCGCGCGCGCGCGGGCGCGCACGTTTCTAGTTACTAAATGGAACTGTGTGGAAGGTAAGAACTGTGATCTGGGTTAACTTACTACTCTTGTTAACTGCAGCAAGCCTGTGCAAAGCGTGTTTCACCTGGGGTGGGGGTGAGGGGGATCTCACATCTTGTTTACATTAGCTTCTAATCATGTTTAACCCTCATTAATTACCCTCCACCATCCGCGGAGTATTTTGTAGTGATGGTTCTGTTCACATACAGGCCTTAGTAATAACTCTGTTACAGCCAGTCAAGGAAGAATGTATGCGGTAAACATGTTTTGGTGAACATGGTTGTCTGTAAACTTGCTGTGGCCACGTTGGAGAATGAAATCTCTGAGCCATGTTCATTGATGATGGACATTGTTTCCTTCAGTGGGACAATACTTTTAGTCAGCCTGCTTCCTTCCAGGTGTGCCATTGCAGAAGGTATCACTAAGACTTCCGGTGGCAGAAAGGCCCCTGGAAAAGTGAACAGAAGGCCCTTCTGTGGGATGCAGGAAACTTAAGCGTGAAACTACTCAAAAACTTTCCAAAAACTGGTACCATTGGTTTGCATGAGGTATAGCTGACAGACCTATGTGTAAGCTGAACAGATTTGTCTGTTGAATAAGATGAATAACTATTTTAAGTTTACATTCTCACCACTAGTAATCTCTCCACAGTAACATTGACCCACTTTCTGCCTGTGAGAAACCTTTAACTGAGATGTATTACACTTGAGGTGTAAGCTGTGCGCCATGAGTGCAGCACAGTTTTCACTGGTTCACTAAAGGCAGCATACTTTCAAGAGTGTAAAGCTCTCACTATTATTACTGTTTTAACCCTGACTTAGTTTCACTCAGTATTCCTTGCAGTATGTTTTGACAAAATGTCAAAAGTCTTATGGTTGCTTCCACAGCATGGTGGTAATCCAGAAATGCTACTGGATTTTGTACATATTGGTAGTTTTGCTAGCTTTTGTGTTAATTATGCTTAAACTTATTTTAGAACATTTGTTTAAACTTTAGATACAGTTTTGTATTTTGTAGTCCATAAAAGGTGGTGTTTTTTTTTCTTTTAATTTTTCTTTATAATTCTTAGCATTGTATTAAAATAGTTCTGCTGGGCATGGTGGCATATACCTTAAATCCTAGAATTTGGGGAGGCAGAGGCAGGAGGATCTGAGTTCACGGCCAGCCTGATCTACATAGCAAGTTCCAGGACAGCCCCAGCTGTGTAGAGGGATCCCAACTCACAAAACAAACACAAACAAAAGTTCTAAGGCATGTTAGAGTCTGTGAATATGGAACAGTATTTACTATTATAAATGTCATCAGATACAACTCAAAATTGTGTATTGATTTAATTGTGAGTTAATCCACAAAAGTGTGTAATGGAGTCACATTTTAAACTGAATGGAGCTGATGTGGTTCAATGCTAGTGGGTTGACTCATGTGTTCTTTAGAACTCAGTTTTTCTGGCATTTTACACTATGGTAAACTCCAGTCTTTTATGTACACCCCTCTTAATTGACTAGTTAGTTTGTACTTCAGCCTTTACTAGCTAAAGTTTAACATTAAGTTATGAATATCTAGAAGTTGTACAAGTAGCTGACTTCAAAGGTTTCTCATGAAAATATAGAATATGAGTCTGGAGATATCTAACAATAAAATTACACAACAGAGGCAGTTTACAACTGGGTCTTTCATATGCTTTTCAAGTTTAATTTCCCATAAAACTAATTTTTACAAATGTCTGAATTACGTCTTTCTAATTGCCTGAAAGGACAACCTTAGAGATGATCTATCTAGAGCTACCTTTTAATTTTTTTTCAGTGGGAATGAAAGCCGTGGTGCTGTGTGTTTAAATATCTAGCTGTTTGGCAGCAGAGAGGTCTTTACCTCTCTGGTCTCCTAGCCTTTCAAGATGGCATGAGGAACTATGACATACCCTTGACCTATTTACTTTATCATCATGGCACATAGTTGTCTTCCACAAGGGGTGGTTGTCCTTATAAGCATCAGTCTCAGGGGATTAGAACCTCCAAAGTGCCCCTAAGTTTCTGGGATGACATGTAGTAGACCAAATGAAGTATGTGAGGTTGAACCTTAAAAATTGCCTATACTTGGTTGACTCATTAAAACAAATTTTCTTAAAATTCATCTAATATTTGTAACACTTGGAAAAACAGAATCTAGTACAAATGAGTCATTGTCAATTACCATAAACTTTATCCATTTATAGTTCATAGTATTTTCAGTTTCAGTGTTTTTAGAAGTTCTTAAATTTATGACTAGCAGTGTAATAGAGTACTTCCATTTACTCTAAATTTAACTTTTTGGTGCCCTCCAGTGTTCTCTTTGTAATGTTCTGGAATTTGGAAATCTGTATTTTGCACATATACATTTCTCATAGTTCTGTAGACTTAACAGGCTTTTGAAAAATCTTTAACTGTTAAACAGATTTACCACTTCCTATACTTCAAAAAACACATTTAATAATATGCTTCAAAATCGTGTGCAGCAACTTTTGTTTGGGGGGAAAAAATCAACAAGTAGTTTAGTGGTTGTTATAAATGTTGATAAGCAATTTATTAGGATTGCAGTATTGATTTTATAATGAGCAATTCATATATCTATATCAAGTTTTTATTTCTAGATGATATGTACAATTTGATTTATGCTTCTAAATTTTTTAATAAGGGAAGTATCTTTTAATCTCAAGAATAAACTAACATTTTGTTTGCTTTTTACTTATATGGTCAGAGAACAAATATTTGTTTGAAATTCTGGTACAGGTTAAAAGTATTGTCTAGCTGTCCATAGTGACTTTAGTTTTTCTTTTTGAATGACTTTATTAACTGTAGGATATAGCTGTTCTATGGTCTTATATAAGATTTGCATGTATTCTATTTTGCATGAGCCTAGCTTACTAGGTCAGGGCAAATTTTTTCCCTGGCTGCTACAATTGTATAATTTGGTCTGTGATATCATTATGTATATGTATACACATGTGCGCACACATACACACACACACACACACATATATACACACACACGTGAATATATATACATATATATACACACATATATTAAACACACACACACACACACACACACACACACACGCGCGCGCGTATACTGACAATCCAAATCAGAAAATGCTATTAGCGGGGCTAGGCGTGTAGCTAACTGACAGGGTACATGTATGTTACTGGGTTCAATCCTCAGCACTAAAAAGGCTGTCAAAGTTGTTCATTTAGATAATTTTCTTTTTGTTTCAGGTCTTAATAAAAAAAAAATTAAATTGATTTGTGCATTAAATTGATATGAATGAGAGAAAACAAAATGGAAATAATTGTAAGGTGTTTTGACCTGGAAGAATTATGGAATATATGATACAATGTGAACGAACTATTATCAGTTATTGACTTTAATATTCCTTCAAAAGGATTTCTAAATGGATTAAAATTATCTTGCTTACAAAGATTTTTCCACAGTTTATTTAAAAAGGAATTTCAGGAAATGTTTTAAGTAATAGACACAATATGTTACAACAAATTTGAGTTAAAGTAGGTATTAAGTGTGTGTTTGATTTTGCTTACTAATCTTTTGACCAATTCCTGGTTGTTGAAATAGTTGTTTCTGGGAAGTTAGTTTACAAAACAGAAATATTGTTTGCTGAGATATTGTTCTATTTGTATTTCTCAGTATACACTACTAGAACTTTTTAGCAGTTTTGACATACTTGATAAACATTTGCATTGATAACATGAATGAATAGCAAAGTAAGCCTTTAACATTCTGATAGTTTTATAAAAAAATAAGTCATAGTATTCTAATTATACTAATATAAAGATTGGAGTTTAAGGTATTTATATGTATATATCTTAAAATACCACATATAATGAGATGTATATGATACACACACACACACACACACACACACACACACACATATATATATATATATATATATATTTTTTTTTTTTTTTTGGAGACAGGATTTTGCTGTGTAGAGCAAGCTGGCCTTGAACTTCAGATCCTTCTGACTCAGATCCTTCCACCTTAGCCCACTGAGTGCAGGCTATTCAATTTCTGGGAACTTTATGATAATGACTCATACTGTCCAGAATATCCTGGAAACGGGACCATCATGTATTTAATTTTTGTAGTGGTCCAGTACCTTTTGAATGTGATCTAAGTAATACCTTTTAAACAGTGCTTTTTCTGAAAAAAAATCATAGGTACTTTTTTCTTGATCAGAGTTAACTACCAGGTATAATTTTCAATTCTTATGTTTTTAAATTTCATTAAGTCTTTATTATAATTTGTGGTACTCTGCTGATGGGTAAATTGTGCAATATTTTACTGTATCCTAATAAGTAGACTTTCCTTTAAAATAGTTTTGTTTACTTACTTCCTCTTCCCAATGTAAACAGGTCTCTATTGCAAACTATTTTAATTATAAGTACTTGATATGTAGTCTGTAAAAGTCCTTGAGTGTTTACCTTGTAGAAGTCATGATCTGAAGGAAGTGTGAGTTTTTAAAAACAGGAATATTTGAAGTTTTGAGATTCAGGTTTCTGAAACTTTGTGATTGCTGTTTTGCTCTGGAGTTCTTCTGATATCTTCTCTCAAAAATGCTGACTAAGGGTCAGGTATTTTTGCATTCCTGATGGCATTGTGTTCTTCATAACTGTTTGTTTATTTTCAAGGCCATGGTAGGGGAGGAGTGTGTAGGTGCCATCGTTTGCAAGTTGGATATGCACAAAAAGATGTTCCGCAGAGGTTATATAGCCATGTTAGCTGTGGATTCCAAATACAGGAGAAATGGCATCGGTAAGGAAAAAGCTATTTCACAAAGGGTGAATTAATTATTTTCATTTTTGTGTTTTGAAACAAAAGATTTTAATGTCCATACTTAGAAATAAATTTCAAGGGAAGGGAAGAAAGTTTTTTTTTTTTTAATAAATTTATTATTGTGTGTCGGAGCACAGCTTTGGGGATTAAACTCAGATTATCAGGCTTTATGGGTGGGCAAGCGCTTTTACCTACTTGGCCATTTATCTCACTTTCCTTAAGATTGTTTTTCTTTCAACATATTTTCAAAACATTCTTAGAAATAGGTTTTACAATTAATGGTTTTGAGAGATTATCTTTTTAACAAGTAGCAGATGATCAGTTTTTTGTTCAGGATTTAAAAAAAAATTGATCCAGAATGCTTCGTGTTTTACTAAGTCCTGGAGAAAGTGTTCCTGTTTTTTTCATAGCATTATGAGAACATTTTATATCAGGTACTATTCTCAAGTTCAGTATATGTTGACCACGCTAAAATTATGGGGGAATTGTTATCATTACCTAATACTAATCATTAAGCCTGAAGTAATTTTAGAGTTCAAAAGAAGATAATTATTTATTGTTCTGAGATTCCTGTTCCTAGTCCTTTTAAACAATCGAATTCCTTAGTTTTTTTTAGTGTGTGTGTGTGTGTGTGTGTGTATGAGAGAGAGAGAGAGAGAGAAATTGCATGTGTAGAGGTTAGAAAACAATTTTTGGGAGTCTCTTCTCCTATCATGTGGGTTCCAGGGACCTTAGTTTGATCCCCTGCTGAGCCGTCTTTAGTCTAGGTCAACACATGTGTCTTTTTAACTGTCACTAGAATGAATCATCTGGATGGTTTAACAGCAGATGGTTAGACCCGCTCCTTGAGAGTCTCTTTCAATTGGTTGGGCTCAAGCTTTTGCTGTTGACGGCTTTGTAAGCTTAGTTAGAACTACTATCCTAGTATGTTCAGTACCTGCTGGCTCTTTTTTCACAATGAAGGAAAAGTTGGAGAGGTAGGTGTACATGCTGGGATGTTAATGTTCATGAAATATTTGATGTGCTGTTTGTTAGTACTATTAGCAGTTTTGTTACTTGTGGCTTTAAAAGAATATGACTACTATCCTCTAAGACTCATATTTATGACTTTCAGGATAATGTCATGAGAGACCCCTATAAATATGTTAGGAGTTTGTTTATTTGACACTGGGTTTAAATTGCTGGCTCAGATATTTGTGCCTCTGTTTTCTAAGTAGCTGGGATTTCAGTCAGGTGTCACTGGGCTGAGTCAGTCTAAAAGGTAAAGGATTTTGGTTTTGGATAGTGTTAACAGTAAAGAAAAGTAAATTCTACTAAAATTGTAATGAATTTAGTTGTTTTATAGACAAGTTTGAAACTGATGCTTTTGAAAAGAGCTAAGGATTCACAAGAAAACAGTACTCTTTATTGACTGACAAGTTCCAGAAGAAGCCATTGTTTAAGGTTCCATCCTGACCCAGCCTTGTTGTGAGATGTGTACATACTCATAAGCTTGCCTTGAAAACGAAGTGATTTTAAAATAAAATTTGTCTTTTTTGAGACAGGGTTCTCACTGTGTAACCTTGGCTGTCTTAGAACTCCAAGTAGACTAAGTTTTCATCGAACTCACAGAGTTCCATCTGCTTTGCCTCCTAAGTGCTAGGATTAAAAGTGTGTGCCACCACACCTGGCAAAATTTTTCTTTTTAAAATCAGATTTGGAAGTTACTATTTCTTTTAAAGTATCAGATATATGTGGCACGGAATTAAGATAAACTTTATAGATATTTACAGACACACCACTGGCATCAGTCACTGCCTGACTTTATTGTGTCAGTATCACTATGTTTTACATACAACAGCTGGTTTTGTCTTGGCACCTTGCGGGCTAAGCAGTTCTTGTTAGGTTGTCTTGTGCCTTATGTCCAGAGATTTGGAGGACATTTGGGAAAATCAGCTCAGGTCATTCAGTAAATTCTTGCTAGCTCACAGAATTCTGGCCTAATCTATGCTGTATTTTCCCATTTCATTTTTATCTTTCCTAATATATTGTAACAATAAAACTCCTGCTTGAGGCTAATAAGACCTGAGAAAAAGGAATCTGTCAGGAGGTAGGTCTTACTAAGGTAGCCTTTTTTTTTTTTTTTTTTTTTTTTTTATAAATGGAGGTTTCCTGGGCTTCTCCCAGCTGATTTCTGGTTTACTTTTCTCTTAGAGATGATCAGTATGTCTACATTGAAGATGAAATCTAATGTTTTAAATTTCTGTGCATTTATAATTATCATAATTTAGATTTTTTAAGAAACTATACTTTTCCTTCATTATTAATACTCAGATCTATATTCTAGGTACTAACTTGGTAAAGAAAGCTATATATGCCATGGTTGAAGGCGACTGTGATGAGGTGAGTCTTTCAAGTGTTTAATCCTGTTATCCTGGGCAGGGTTCTACTGGATAGATTTTTTTACAGTGTTCTATAGTAATAGTACTGCAAGTTTCATTGCAGATCTTCTACCCAAATGCAGATTGTGGAGAATTTTTTTTTTTTTTTTTAGAAACAATTGTGATATAAATTTTAAGAAAATGGAGTTGAATATCTTCAGAACACAGAGGTGAAATCTAAACATATTCAGTAAATATTTAATTCAAAAGCTTTGTTATCAGCTGAGTCATTTAAATAAGTTGTTGTTTCTTTTTGCTTACCTTTTATCCTATTGTTTAACTTTCTTTCAAAAAAATACCCACCTGTGTGGAGGATATTTCACTCTAGGAAAATGTCTCCAAGTATTAAGTAATGACTGGTTTGGATATTACCATAAGAGCACATCTTCTCTTTTCAGCTTGTCTGTAAGGCCTTTTTTTGCCATCTGTACTTTCTTTATTCCTATAGCACAATGTTTCATATATGCTTAGTAAATATTGATGATAACTGGGGATGTTAATATCGTACATTAATGTAGGTGGGAACAGTTTAAACTAGAGAACGGATGCCTTTTATAGTAGTAATGACTAAACAACACAAAGGACAGTTACCTTTGGAAAAAAAGTGATTTTTTTTGGTGTTTTGAGACAGAGTCTCACTATGTAGCCCTGGCTGTGTTGACCAAGTTGGTACTTGCTTTAACTTCTCAAATGCTGGGGTTAGGGGTGTGCACCACTGTGCTCAGCACATGCCTTTACTGTGAGAGGACAGATGTGTCCTAACAAAATTGTCAGATAAGGAGATGAGGTGATTCCTTTGCTTTGATAACTTTTTAAAGCAGAGGGTTTTTGTTTATTTGTTTGTTTTTGTTTTGTTGTGTGAGACAGGGTCTATATCTCAGGCTGTCCTTGGATTTATTAGGTAGTCTAGGCTGCCCTTAAATTTGCCATTCTCCTGCCTTAGGCTCCAGAGTACCAGGGATATAGAAGTGTGCCCTGCTAAAGTTAATTTTTTGGTGTAAAATTTATAGTTTAAAAATAAAAGTCTTGGCCAGGTGGTGGTGGCTTATGCCTTTGATCCCAGCCTGTTCTACAGAGCGAATTCTAGGACAGGCTCCAAAGCTACACAGAGAAACCCTGTCTCAAAAAACCAAAACCAACCAACCAACCAACCAACCAACCAACCAACCAGCCAGCCAGCCAACCAACCAACCACTAACCAAACAAAACCAAACAAATAAATAAATGCTCTGTGTGTGTGTGTTTACAAAATTCCTCAACTATCTTGTTCCTCAGCTGTGACCTTCCTTCGTATTGCAAGTTGGTTACCTATTACATTTCTAAGCATTTTTTCATGCAGATGTAATAACTTCTTAGTATTCACAAAAGTTGCTAGCAGTTTGGAGAACCTTTGAGTAATAGACTGTACTTTGATTTTCTGCTACGAGAATTATTGTGAACAGGGATGCTTAGGTCAGGATCTACTTTGTTCCTGGAGTTAAGTCTTTTCATGAGTTATATTAGTCATTGCCTATGAAGCAAGATGTGTACTTACTGATTAAGTGTTGAAATAATACTAGGTTTTCATCAAAGCTTCTAATACAGGATTTGGAGAGTTGGAAAATACTGTGTTAATTTTATTATTTATTTTAGAATTGAATGCTATTATTTATGTATTTATTTATTGTGTATGTATCATTGTGTGTACACATGTAGAGGCCAGTGGCTAACGTTGATGATTGTCTTCTTCAATCACTTTTCACCTTAATTTTTGACATAGGGTTTCATTGAACCTAGACCTATCTCTTCAGTTCAGCTGGGTGTGGTAGCACTTTACTAAGCTGTCTCACTGGCCCCATACCCTAAGGATCCTGAGTGAACAGTTTGGGTTTGGCTTATTTAAAGAATTCACTATGGGACATCTTGATTTCTTACCCATCTTCTGCAACTTAGCAATTGTATAATTGAGGGCAAATCATTTCACTTTGCCTACTCTGTCACTTTGTGTGAAGTTATGTTAATTACACTTTTAACTTTTGTTGTGAAGAACAATAGTTAGTTGTTCATTCATCAAGTATCTAGTCAAGTTCTGTAGGGAGCCAGATAACAGTGGGCACAGCATTTCTCTCAAACACATCAAGCTTCTTAGAGAGAGAGAGAGAGAGAGAGAGAGAGTCTGTCTGTCTGTCTGTCTGTCTGTCTGTCTGTGTGCCAGCCAGCCACCTGTGTGTAGAGTTCAAGAAGACCAGAAGAGTAGGCCCCTTACAATAGCTCATAGTTAGGAGTTGTCTAATATGGGTGCTGGGAACTGAATTGGGTTTGTCTGTGAGAGCAGTACATGTACTTAACTACCCACTCACCTATCTCTTATTATTGCTTTAAGATCAAAAAAATTTCAGAATTATCATTTGGCTTCTTGTGTCATATTTCTGTGTAAAGTGAAAGAGAAGCTTTGTAGTAAAATTTTAGTATAAACCTTGATTGAAAACAATATGTTTATGAGTTGAAGTGATAAAATGTTGAATAATAATTAACAGCATATTCTACTATATTAGATAATATATAATCTCTTAGGAAGTATTCAGTATACTTAGGCTATCTTTACATTTTGATTAGAGTAGCCATTTCTGTAATTTTTTCTTTATAGTTAATACTCAATTCATTAGGATGGTAACAAGCCAAAATTCAAATATATTTTTGAAGATTTGATTTCATTTATGTGTATGAATGTGAGTATGCCATGTATGTCTGTGGAAGCCAAAAAGAGGGACTCAGGTTCTCAAAAGAGCAGCAAGTACTCTTAACTACTAAGCTATTACCAGACCTAGATTGTAACTCTTAACCACAGTTTAGTTGTATCTGTGTAGCTGTAGTTGCCCTTATATACATTTAGAACAGCAGTTCTCAACCTATGGGTCATGGCCCCTTTGGGGATTGAATGACTCATAGGGGTCAGCCAGTATCAGAAAACACAGATACTTACATTACATTTTCTAACAGCAGCAAAACTACAGTTATGAAGTAGCAATGGAATAATTTTACGGTTGGGGGAATCAACACAACTTGAAGGACTGTATTAAAGAGTTGAAGAATTAGGAAAGTTGAGAACCACTGATTTAAAATATTTTTGGGTTGCTAGTTATGAGTGAAAGTAGATGGCAGATTCCCTTGTCCAAGTTGATTAGATTTTCTAATCATTGCTTTAGCTTCCCCTAGGAAATAGTGGAGAGGACTAAAGTATGGTTACTATGAAGTTCTAGGTTATACTTGAACTCCAATTATTTGTCCTTGTTTACTGGTTTTCTTTTTTAACAATCTATGATATATATGTATATAGACAGGTAAATACAAGTGTTTTGTTTTCATGTACACCTGCACACCAGAAGAGGGCATTGGATCCCATGGGTTATGTTATGAGACTGTTAAAGATGGTTATGAGACACCATGGGAATTGAATTCAGGACTTTTGGAAGAGCAGCTAGTGCTCCTCTTAGCCACTGAGCCAACTCTTCAGCCGTTTATTGGTTTTCTTGAGTTTCATTCATCTGTAAAGTATAAATTAGTGTTTTCAACCTTCCTAGTGATGCAATCCTTTATTGTTGTAGTGACCAACAACCACAAAATTATTTTCATTGCTACTATAATTTTGCTACTGTTAATGAATTATAGTGTAAATACATTTGGAGATAGAGGTTTGTCAAAGGGTCATGACCCATAGGTTTCTGTTTAAATATAGCTATCTTTTAAATGTATGTATGTTTGTTTGTTTGTTTATTTATTTATTTTTGGTGAAATAAGACCGCAATTTTGTATTGTGGTAACATCAGTTTTTTTTCAAATTAAATTGCCTTTATTTAACAATTTAGTTGTAATTACATGTTGACCTAATAACAGAATTCCAAGGGAATTATCATATCTGAAAACTTGTACTCAGGTATTCTAGTATAGCATTCAGTATTAATACTTGAATTTTTGTTCATGGCAGCTTTTCATATGTAGCTTTGGCTAGCTCAATGGTCATAGAAATTTCTTAACTCTGATAGGATTGAAGGTGTGTATCCAATACGCATGAACCACATATTTCAGAATACTCATGGATTTGGTCCAACATGTTTGTAAGTGATGTCATATTACATTTTTAAAAGCTTGGGCATCTATCTATAGAAGGTGAAGGTTCTAGAGACTGACAGTTTGATGTTGAACATGAAGAGGAGGGAGAGAGAAAGAAACTGGGGATGTACATGGAAACCATATATTGATGGGACTGTTAATATCTTCAGATAATTTTTAGATCATTAAGTTTATTTTAAGGTCCAAGAGTCAATAAGTTATTTTAGCAAGGAAATCAATGAGAGGATCACATGTAAAAAATGGGAGACTTCCTAGGCTGGTGGCAGTTTATACTGCTGTCAGTGTGGGGTAAAAATAAGAGGGCCATTTGTGGGGGAAGAATTGGTTTACTTAGTGGTTGGATGGGTATAGGAGAGTGGTGAGAAAAGAGTTAGACTCCTGGATTTCAGGCTGAGAAAACTGGGTGGTGGGATGGAGAGCCTCGTCACTATGAGGCAGAATTGTGCAAATTGAGGTGCTATCTTTTCTCTTTGTCTATTGAATTCTTCGAAGATAGAACAGGAAGAGCCTTGTGTGCTTTATAGATGCTTTGTTGTGTCTTTGTTAGTTGTGCTTTTACCATTTTCCCTTCACTCTAAATGCCCAAAGGTTATGACACCTTTGAATTGTCTTCCTGTGTTGCTAATTCTCAGTGACACAGGGCAGAATACATAGAAAAAGTAAACAGAGCAACATATATAAAGTTGGGAAGGAAGAAAGTGTTTAGGTAGAGGGAAATAGACATAAGAAGAGCTCATAGTTTTCAAAAGTATCAGCTCTGTTTTCAGGGCTACCAGTTCAAGTGATAATCCAAAAGACTCAAATGGAACCTAGTACTCTGTGATCCTCTGTTTTGATCTGAGTAATATTTAGACTACTGATTCTCAGTGACATCAATCTCACCTTGTAATTTGTTTAAAATGCATGTTCTTGGGCCTTGTCCTAAGTCTCTCTCTTTCTCTCTCTCTCTCTCTGTGTATCATCTATTTGTGCATGCAAGTTGGAGGTCTGAGATCAATAAGGGTATTTCCTTCAGTTATTTTCGGCCTTATTCCCCTCACCTTAGTTTTCTTAGTTATTACTGTGTGTATATATTTGTGATATGTGAGTGCATACACCATGGCATATGTGGACATCAGATAACTAGAGTTGGTTCTATTGTTACACCATTATGTGGGTTTCCCACTGTCAAGCACAGGTTGCCAGGCTTGCTCTGCAAACACCTTCACCTGCTTAGCCATCACCAGTCCTCCTTATTTTTGACACAGGGTCTCTTCCTTTACCCTGTAGCTTGCTGATTTGTCTAGACTGGCCAGTGACCTTTATAGATCTGCTTGTCTGCCCTCAATCTCACGGAGACCTGACTTCCTCATGTTTGTGCAGCAGGTAGTTTACCTTTCCTAGCCCACAGCAATCTTGTTCTAACCATCCCTCCAGGTGTCTGATGGACCCTAATGTTTAAATTCTCTTGGTTTAGGTTTAGTAAACTTTTTTCGAGACAGGGTTTCTCTGTATTGCTTTGGAGATTTTCCTGGAACTCACTCTTTAGACCAGACTGGCCTCACAGAGATCTGCCTGCCTCTGCCTCCTGAGTGCTGGGATTAAAGGCGTGATCCACCAACACCCAGCTCAGGAAACTTTTTCTACAAAAGATCAGATACTAAATATTTTTTAGTATTTGTGACAGCTTCTTAGCTCTGTTCTGTGCCACAAAAAAGGAGCCTTAGGCATATACGCAAATGGACATAGCCATGTTCTATTAAAAGTTACCTGTTTTCTTTCCCTCCCTCCTCCCCTTCCTCCCTCTTTTCCTCTCTTCCTCTTTCCTTTCTTTTTGATGCTTTCCTGAAGATTGAATCCAAAACCTCATATGTGCTAGATAAGTACTCTGCCACTGAGCTATATCCCCAGCCACCAGGAATTTTTTTTATATGGAAACTGATAGCATTAGGATATTTGGCTCAGTTCTTTAGTTCGCAGACTAGTCTGGGCTCTTAGACCCGGGGTTCTCAATCTGTGGTTTGTAACCCTTTTGGGGGGGGGTTGTCAAATGATTCTTTCATAGGGTTCGCCTAAAACCATCTACTTATTATATGTTTACGATTCATAACATCAAAATTACAGTTTCGAAGTAGCAATGGGAACAATTTTATGTTTGGAGGTCACCATAGCATGAAGAATAGTACTAAGAGGTCCCAGCATTGGGAAGGTTGAGAAATTACTGCTGAAGCCGTGGTAAACAGTGAGAGATTAATACAAACAGGAGTTAAGAGATCAGACTAAATAATTTCAAGTACTGACTTACTTTCAAAACTTTTGATTGTTGATTTTTCTTTTCTCTCTCTCTCTCTCTTTCTTTCTTTCTTTCTTTCTTTCTTCCTTTCTTTCTCTCTTTCTCTCTTTTAACTGTATCACCTTATATGTCACCTTAGTTTTCTCCACAGGAAAATAGTTCATCTTTGTTTTATTATAAACATGTAGTCAAGTCCTAAAAGTTGAAACATAACAAAAACCGGGAGAAAAATTCTCAATGATTCCACCCATATCATGGCTCAAAAATAATTAGCATTTTGATGATTTTTTTCTGTATACCAGTATTGTTTTGTCATTTTTAACAAATCAATTAATTTTAAGAATATTTCATTATATATTTTGTCAATTTTTAATTATGAAATTATAACAAGTTTTTTTCTCTTTTTAAGGTTGTTTTGGAAACAGAAATAACAAATAAGTCTGCTTTGAAACTTTATGAAAACCTTGGTTTTGTTCGAGATAAGAGGCTGTTCAGATACTATTTAAATGGAGTTGACGCACTGCGACTTAAACTGTGGCTGCGCTGAGAGACTGACAGCAAGGAATGGCTCCACCCACATGGAAGCGACTTTTGCATGCAATGCAATTTGTGCAGAATTGCTTTGCAGGTGGATTTAGTAATTCCCATGCAGCTGTTATCTGTCAGTGTCCATTGAGTGTCGCACAATATTTGTTGCACTTTGGCATGGCGCATTTATTCTGAATTAAATGAGATTGTTTTTAAACTTCAAGGGTTCCTTTGGTACCAACAGGATGTGCCAGTTAATAGCCAAGACTTGTTCATTTGCAAAGTCTTCTGACAGTGCTATTTACACAGTGATCATTTTATCACAGAACCAGTAAGTGGGACATGATTTTTTGTTCCTTAAAGAAGCCAATGTAGTAAAAGTCTCTTAAGTGTACTAACATTTCATACACAACCTGCCATAGTTTTCTGAAGGGAAAAGCTTCAACTTAGTTTTTTTTTTTTTTCAATATTAAATTTTCCATTCTTGAATATTGGTACCTCAGTGATTAGTGGATGACAAGTGTAGGGTGGGATTTGTCTTACAATGAGTAAAGATGACAAATTGCGTCTGCCAGTGCCTGTGTAGATAAGTTTTCTTGTCTTCATCTCTAGTTTTTGAATGCATGCTGTCTTTTTCTTTAATGCCTTTGCAAGCAAACTTGTTTTTATTTAAATTCTAAATTTGCTAATAAATTATTTCAGATTTTTATAATTTGGACAGTTTTTCCAGGTGAGTGACAGTGGTTTGATTTAGGAGTCCCTTTTTCCCTTATAGTAAGAAATTGAATCTACTTGGGAAACAGAAATGGCTTAAAGGGATGGAGCTGGGGATTGCTGGGTTTTGGATGCACTTTTTTTTTTTTTTTTTGTTTTTTTGTTTTTTTTATTTTTTTTTTTTTTTGAGAATGGGGAGATTTTGGAAAGGAATAGAAAATTAATGTAAATTGGTATGATTTTATTTAATCAAAATGATTGCTAAGCTGTGAAGAACAGCTTCTATAAAGTAGCTGGGGTTTTTTTTGTTTTTTGTTTTTTTTTAAACTTGATTTGAATTTGCATTGCTTCCATTTTTGAGAATACTTCATTTTTGGTTCTTCGTCTTAGAAATAAATTTCAAAGAGCATTGTATCTGTTTTACGCTGCATTTATTTTCTTTTCACTCATGAGCAGATTCTTGGGGGACCTTTGCTTTGTTCCTCCAGAAAAAGGGGAGGGATGGAATTTTTTTTAATGAGTTCTTTGAGTTTTCTGAGCAGCCAAGGTGTTTATTAGTTACAGTGTATTTTGGCTAATCAGTGTAATGTTAACAAATTTAGGTAATTGTTTTGAGTCAGTAAATCTGTGATGGATAATTTATTTAACTAGAAAACCTAAGCACTCATAAGGAAAAAGATTCATTCTCTGAAATGTTTTATGGGGATCTGACATTCATGTTGTTATTTTCATTTGACTATACTTTCCTTCTGCTCTACTACTTGGTTTGAATTTTATTTTATGGCTGTAATTACTGTATTTTTTTTTTTTTTTTTTTTAAACCCTACCTCCATTAACAGTTGGTAAAGGCCCCCTTTTCAGGAAAGTTTGTTGCTTTTTTTTTTCCTCATTTTTTTCTTTTTAAAGGAAAGCTGCTCTTTGCTCAGTATAATATTTTGAAAGTGAACATGGTAACAAGTACTTTTAAAATAAAGATGCACACTTTATATTTGAAAATAAAAACTTCCTGCTGGTGGGATCATTTATAGTTCCTTATTTTTAAGAAAATGTGTCTTTCCATTTTATATTGCTCTTTAAAGTTTAATGCAGAATACTGGTAATATTAAAAATGTGATGACCACATAGTACTCAGCTTTTCTGCTGACCATTTTGAGTCTGTTTTGGTCAACTGTCATTTGGGCTCCAGCATTTAGAAGAATACCAGTCATCATGATGCTTCTGTTTTCATTTTTGATGTGAAGGAAAGTAGCTAAACAGTATACTTGACATCATCCAATTTTGTTTTGATTTGCTGGTACATAAGTAGTGAATTGTTGATGAACAGACATTTTCTTGACTCACTCTAATGGGTATCATTGTAAAGTAGATACATGCTAGAGTTACCAATTCAAAAGTTTTGTTCTTGCTAGATTGTCAATGAAACTGTCAGGATTCTCCTTAACTTCAGAATTGCTGAATTACCTGAACTGATTGTCTGATTTGTAAACATGATCTGAACCATGTGACTAAAATACCAGATCATTACAATACTGCTCAATGGATAGATACATGATGAATATCAGTGCATACCTTGATGTTTTAATTATTTGACCAATTTCTTACCTAAAATTCTAACTTCTAGCTTGATAACCTAGTTACAAAATTAAAACTTTCCAAGTTGAAATAGGTTCAAACATTAACTTAATATTAGGCTTTCATTTTTCTTCTATCAGCTTAAAGTAATTCCATTTATAATTGACCATGGGTTCACTTGGCTAAAACTGAGCAAAACTGGTGCAACTTTCTTTTAGTGGGGTGCTGCCTCTTTAAGACTGATTGTACTATCCACTGACATTGGTTTGGCAGTTGATACTGCTGAACATTTAATACATGCTACAGTTAAGCTATATATGTTAGTATTGAAGAAAGCTAATGGATATACTACCAGTCTAGATGTGTGGGCTGATTATAATTCCCCTTACATTGGGATGAAAATACTTAACTCTGGAATAATCAAAGTCCACAAATCATAACATTAGTACTTGATGTTGAAGCCAGCAAAATAAGGTGAAAAATTAGTATTAAAAGTTGATTTTTTTAACATTTTCTGTCTCCTCCAAATTACTCTTCACAAACATGAGACAAATCTGTGTAAAGGAGTTTGTCATGTTTTAACTCCTTCCATGCTCTGTTGTGGTATTGGCTGGCATGTATAAGACTGGATGTGTATATTTATTATGGTGTCTAAAAATTATGAGGTTCATCACTTTCCAGGAGCATAGAGGAAATCAGATTGGTAGTACACCAGTTACTTTTCAGTACACCTCAACATCACTAGGATGAGTGCTATAGTGTCCTAGGGCTTTCAGGTTTGTAAAAACAAAACCATAAGTTATATTGACGTCACATATGAGTTGAGTATCTATGAAATATCACGTGTATCTCAAAAATACTGGACTGCTGTTTAATGACTTCGGTATTGCTGCATAGTTTTCTCCTATTGACCCCCTATCCTTTTGGAGAGAGATTTAATGGGATTTGAAATGTGCAAGCTGTGTGAATAACATGCAGTCAAATAAAGTATGGTTAAGTTGTGTTTGCATTTTTCTTTAAGATACAGCTGTGTACATTCTATAATTTGGTTTCAGATATTCAAAAAGCAAATGGTTCTGTTTCTCACTGCCCTCCACCAAGAGTCATTTGGAAGGAATGATACAGTTGTTATCTCTCCATGTTGTGTTCTGACAAAGTAAATTTGAAAATAAAATCACAAACTTGATTGCTAAATGTACTCAAGGTTAGTCAACCGAGATAGCAGTACAAGGGAGAACATTTTTAAAAACTAAGTGATCCTAGCAACTTACTCCTAAGTCAGTTTTTATTTTTACTATTTGTACAATGCCTCCTTGTATAAATAATTTTTTCTTTTGCTAAACACTAAAGTTGAGCAAGAACTCATGTGCTTTTTGACCCATTCTTGTGAGAAACTTAAGTGTGTAGTTGTGAATGCTTATTTTTTATATTTGAAGTATTGAATATCAGTTGGAGAATGAGATGATATATTTTAATTGTGACTACTAAGTTTTATCACCCTTGCTGAATATTTCGTTCTTAATAGAAGTGTGAAACATCTGATCAAGTTTTGATCTTGTAGAAGTGTGAAGTGTCTGAGTTCATGTTGTATTTGGGTCTGAATGCTTCAGAAACTTAGTGTAAATGAGGACCAGAAATGTAAGACTATTATTATCCAGTTTTTATTTTTTTTAAATAAGCATCTTCAAACAATAGGGTTAAAAAATCAGCATATAATATAGTTGTACTTTGTTCAGCTGGAATGCAATGATGGAAGTGCTCTTTGTCCTCTTCAGGATGGAAGCTACTAATTCTTCACTGCTGAGCAGAAATGAAGTATGACAAGGATGGAACCTTAATTTTTAATTTTACTGATTTGAAATTGGTTATATGTGGCCATTGGCTGCTATATGGCTAGCAGAACTTTAGACACATATGCCCGAGGAAAGCTTATTGAAATGTGAAATTAATAGGTGATTTAAAATTGCCTCTGAGTAGAAGCACTAACTAAACTGTTTGTATATTGACATTTTCCTTGGTCATGTTCCTGCCTCATGCCCCTTGTGTGAATCACTCATTGAAGAAGCAGTTCTTGTATCTTACTGTTGCAAGTGCTTGGGATTGCAGAGACTGGTTTCTGAGACTGTTAATAGATTTTAGCTTTAAGTCCTGTAGCATTAGGCCCAACAGTTTATTTTAGATTAATTTGAAATAATTACCCTTTTAAATAAAATAGACCTCATTTTACCAATGGTCAAACCAGGAACATGGAGGTACCTCATATTTATACAATTTTTAAAGCAAATGAGACTAAGGGCAAATGTTTTTTAATTCTGATGAGTAAATTTATCTGCTTTCCTGGCATATCCATTCATCTTTGCTGGTCATTTGGTCAGCTGTGTCTCAAAAGGCAGCAGTGGAGATGTCCTTACAGAAGAGGACTTGGTTGGGACAGCCTTTGATAAGCTCTCAGCCTCTTGACTTGATAGCAACTTGGTGTTTTATTTCTGTGAGAAAAATAGAAGCACCAAGATATATTTCCTGTTACTTTAAAACTTAGACAGTATAGGGATTATGGTGAAATAATTGTCAGTGTATTTAATGTTTTTGGTTTTGGTTTTTTGAGACAGGGTTTCTCTCAATCTCTGGCTGTCTTGGAACTCACTGTATAGTCTAGGCTGGCCTCAAACTCAGATCACTTGCCTCTGCCTCCCAAGTGCTGAGATTAAAGGTGTGTGCTGCCATCACCCAGCTGATAAAAAAAAAAAAAATAAAATAAACTTTTAGTTATGGTGGAGTACTTCTTTGCTGTATAAATGCATCTTAGTTTGTTAATGGTTCAGCTTCCTGAGAATAGACATTTTTGTAAATAGTTTGCCGTATCCCAGGGGAAGGATCCTTCCTCTCTTGAAGTTATCTAGAGATTTATTGGATATGTTACATGATGAGTCAATTTCAAGTTTCTTAAGAATGTTTTAGAGACTTGACTGAGGGTATTTAGTAAATGCACTCTTTAGTAAAATTTGCATTCTATGAAATGTATACACTTATTCCCTTATAACTGCTAAGTTTGTATGTATTTGATACTTTTCTGTCATGTCAGAAACTCACCATGATATAATGCTAGCATATATGAACTAATACCTCCAAAAGTCCCCCACAAATATCCAAATTTCTCAAATTAAATAGTCATGTCTTACTTCTTGAGATTTAAATAATTTCACAGTTAAAGTGAGAGGTGGCGTGTCTTTCTAACAGTTAATTAACCGCATTAAGGAAAATATTGACATCTTAAGAGAACAGTTACATTATTAAGTTCCACAGATGCATGAAACCTCCAAAAGTTAATGTAAAATATAATGTAATTGCTAAAGTTTGTACTTGCGATTCAATGCCTTAATATGTAAGGAATTGATCACTGTCCTCTTTAGGGCCAGGTTTCCTGTGAATGTTAAGTTTTATTGATCACTTTTATGGGAGCCGAACCTACTGCCTTAAATTTAAACCTGCTGCCTTTAGATGCTGCTCTCCTCCAGACTGGCTGTATGTAACCTTCGATGCAGAGTCATGAATACCTGCATATTCTGTGAATGCAGTTAAAGATTTTAAGCCCATCAAGTACTGACTTAACTAGGTAAATGTAAACTGATTTCAAATTTGTCTGCTCCATAGCATGTAATTTAAAAATGAAGTACATTAATATAATGTGAGCATTGTATTTTGTTATGTAATTATTAGTTTTCTTCATATTAGGAACTGAAAGTGAACATTGAAACATTAATGATTCTGGGCATATTTTTTAATGTTTTTGACCTTTTGGTAAAACTGATGAAGTTATGGAGAATAAATGGTATGATGTTTATTGGTAACCTTGACGGTACCTAGTCAGTAGTCACCTAGTGCATAGTAACTAAGTGATAGCTATTAATAATATAGAACAACTTTTATAGTGAGTGTTAAAACACCAGAGGTAGACATTAGATATTTAAATTAAAAGACTTTTTTTTTTTTGGTGTGTGTGTGTGTGTGTGTGTGTGCTAAAATTTTTATACTCTCAAATGTGTGTGCTTATTGTAGGGATAGTAGCTCACATAAACAGCAAAACAAAGATGCCGACTAAAAATTGAGTTCCTTTTTAGGAATGTGACCTTAAATGCTGTCCAGAGCTGGGAGCATTGTTGACATACTCTTTTTAACAAGCAGCTTCTTTAGGATGTGCATCTGCCAAGAAGAACTGGTTTGTATAGTGTCATGTCCTTTCCCAGAGCAGCCCAGATCCAGGGCCTGGTTGGTATGGGTGTAAAGGCTCAGCCTCACTCCCCCAATCTGGTAGGACCAGAAATCCTCATGGGTTGGCTGAACCTTCACTGGCACTACATCTTAACCTCAACTTCCCTCTCCTTAGCCTAGGCACCTAAGAATATTTCCTAATCAGCTTCCAGAGTGCTGATCTCCATCTCAGATCTCGTTTCCCAAGGAACCCCTGTGGGAACAGTATGCCTATCAGGGTCAGAGGTGATCAGAGGCAAAGGTTGTAATATTTAGCTTTAATAATAGACAATTTGGTGTTTCTTCAATCAGGAATGATGGGATAGATGAGAACTGTGGCAAGAAATTCAGAGCCACTGTAGTAAAGGCTTAGAGGGTGGGCAATAAAAGGTCCCTGCTATGAAAACTATTTTGGATTAAAAGCATAACTTGATTTGACTTTGAGTTAAATCATGTCTGACTAGGTAAGTTATTTAAATATTTTAAAAGTTTTTTTTTTTTTTAAACATAGAAAACAGTAATAAGTCATTTCATGTGTTTGTGGTAATGGCTGTTGCTGTGATATGGTTAAATATTCGAGTTTATGATTAGCATCATCATTCTTACTGCTTAATTCTGGTTCATTTAGTGCCAAGCCACACAGGAACCAAAGATAGCTTGGAAGTGACACCATCCTGCCCATTTTATTATTTGTGGATAACACAAGGGCAGACTCCAAGTAAAAAGAATACACTATAGCTGTCGTTTCAGTGGATGAGTCCTTTGTTGGTGGTCTGCATGGTAACATTCCACACCTGCTAAGAGGTCTTGCACAGGGAAATTAGACTCTGGGAGGGAGGCCTGCTTCTAAGTTGAAGAGTTAGTTTTCTGTTGCTGTCTTGAGTAAGAACAGGGCTTGGTAGATTCTGAATGGTGTCTTTAAGTATAGTGAGTAATCATAGGGATATAGCATGAATTCTTGCCAGAGGGGATTACAGTCTGTTCACTTAGAGACTGAGGGAACTCTATGAAAGCCTATGTCAGGAGAGCAGAGAGTAGTTAATAGACTGAAGGTGGAGGGCTAGCTGATCTCTACAAAGCATTATCCTGTGCTGCTTAGACTTGTTAGGATGGGCTCAGGATCCACTGAGGGACAGGAGATAAAACTACATCAGGTGTCCATATCTGTCTAGTGTACTAAATAGCTTCCACTTGGGAATTTGGGATTCTCTGTCATAGTTGCCATTTAAATAGTTTTAACTTTTCATCTTGTTTTCAACTAATTAAGAGGTTCTAGGAAGTATTTTCCATGTATAGTTCATGATTCCTCCCCAGCACATTACCCTAAGTCACTCGAAGAATGAGTAGTCCTGCTTGAAGTGCACACAGATTTGGGATAATCTCATCACTCCAGGGTGAGTTCTCTTGGGTCTGTGTCTGGGACAGTAAACAGGACTGAGGAGTCACAAATGCTTTTGGCATACTACCCATTTCTTACACAGGGCATAACGGCCTGGCAGCCATTAGCCTTCATGTAATGTGTGTGAAAGGTACTCTTCTACATCAGTTGAGGTGTTCTAAACCACAGGTTGGAGAGACAGCAGAAATTTGAAATGGGACATTTGGTGGCACAAGACACTGGGATTCTGTCCTTGTTCCAAGGAATAATTCAGAAGAATACCAGAACTAGAGTCCCTGTCATTCTTCAGAGGAGATGAACCAGAGACAATTATCCCAGTGACCTTGTAGCTGTTCTCTTCCCTCATGATCTGAAAACAGATTATACCTCCAGG